ATAGACAGACAGTAGATTAATGATAGATGGATACATAGATAGATATAGATGATAGATAAAAGGAGAGAGAGAGAGAGAGAGAGAGAGAGAGAGAGAGAGAGAGAGAGATTGCACCTTTTTTTAAGATGTTGATGGTATCATTCCTTACCCAATAGGCTGAAATGAGAGCAAGAGGGTGGTTGCCTCATTAACACCCAGCCTGGTCAAGTGAAAACTTGAACAATGCCTTCAACACCAAATTTACTCTTCAAATAGAAGCAACAATACAGAATAGAAATGGCTGTCTGTCGATTGGTCTGTCTACCTCCCTACCTACCTTTCATCTATAATTTCTGCTGCATTTTTCTTCTCTGAATCCTGTCTTGTAAAGGTTGCAAGAGATACCGAGAAGCTGATTTCTGCTGAAGGATTTCCTTTATTCAATTCATGATGAGTCTGTCTTCAAGGTATTTTCTGTTTATCTTCTACTGTTGTTTATTACTACCTAACCAGGACACTTTGACTCCTGCAATAGACTTTCAATCACCTACAGTATTTACTGCTTTGTAATCTTCCTGATTCCCCTTGTTGTCACCTTTCAACTGGGCCTGTATTGGCAGTCCAAATCTGGTTTGATTTCCTACTGTGGTACCTTTAATTCTCTTCATTTCCTACTTCCTTAAAATCAAATAGACCTGACCAGAATTGGCTATAATTGGAAGGAGGATTCCAGAATGGTAGAAAAAATATACAGTTCAGGTCAGGGGTGGGTTGCTGCCAGCATTACTGCCGGTTCAGCATGCACAAAATTTTGCTTCGCTCACGTACATGCCCGACGCGTGCTCTGCGTGCATGCGCATTTGCAGCTAAAAAGGTCTGTGCATGTGCACAATGTTTGGGGAAAAATTACATCTTTGCAATGAAGATTGTTCTGCGCATTCGCAGAACTGAAAATCGAGATGGCACCACCGAGGATAGAACCGATTCAGGCACATGTCCATCCGAGTTACTACCTACTCGGCCGAATTGGTCCGAACCGGTAGGAACCCACCTCTCATTCAGGCTTCAATTGTTAGGATTTAGGTGGTATCTGAGTTTCTTTCTCTTTCTGCATGCACTAATAAAGTTGGGGATGAAATGTCTACAGGCATCCAACAAGGATTCTACAATTAATTGTCCAGGTACTTGTTCTTTATCCAGATTCTGACGATGTAGGTTGACTGGTTTTATGTTGTTGGTTTTTTTTGTCATCTTAGGCCAAACATCCAAACCATGCTGATATTCCTAATGCTTCTTCAGCTGACCTTGGGGGTCTCGCTCCAAGAAACCTCCAAATCAGCTCCTCAAGACTGGCTCCAAAGTGCATGCATGTTGATTATGTGTGCACCTAACAATGGGGATCCCAGAAGAGAAATGGCTATTCAAGGTATCTAAACATCTGCAAGAGACTGTGCTGTTTTCTTTTGGTTTTTATGCCTAGAAGGACGGTGCAGATACTTTGTGTGTTCTTATAACCCTCTGAGTCAGGTTCAGCTCCCATGTTCTGTTGTACTGATGAAAGATTCTAGAGATATGAAGATGTAGAAGAAAAATTACATTAGGACAGTATAGTTATTAAAGCAATTTAATAACTATACTGTTATTAACTGTACTGATAACTCAGATATGCAATTTCGAAAAAGGGGTTGTTGTTTTTTTGTCAAATAAGTAGAGAGTTCAGACCGCTACAATCAGTTTCAGATCCAATCGTTTGAATCTGTGTGGAGAAGCAACACACTGTAGTTGGAGCATAAGCAATAATTCAGCAATGCTTACTAATGTGTATAGATCAGGGGTGGGTTCTAGCTGGCGTTACTGCTGTTTTGCTCATCGGCCCACTTCATGCGTATGCACGGTTCAATAGAAATTGTTCTGTGCATGTGCAAAACTCAAAAACAAGATGGCGGTGGTGACTGCGGTGACCAGGGAACCGGTTTGGGGCATGGCCAGCCTGGGTCACTGCCGGTTCTGCAACTCAGGCCGGCATACCATTACCAGTTCAGCCGAACCGGGCCGAAACGATAGGAACCCACCTCTGGTATAGATGTTTGCTAGAAGCCATAATTCTGTCACTGCCGTGTTTCTATGAAAATAGGGTCTTATTTTCTTTTGATCCCTGAAATAAGCACTTGGCCTTATTTTGGGGGAGGTCTTGTTATTTTTGAGGTGCAAGAGGCCCCTTAACTTTGGCCCATGGATCAGCTGATCCAGAGAGGGCCAGAAGTTCTCTCTCTGTTTCTGGCACACTCTTGCCAGTCCTAGTGTCACTGGGCCTGCCACTCTTTTTTGCGGCCACCACTAAGAGAAGGGGCGTGGTAGCTAGGATTTCTGGGAGCGGCCCCTGTGAAGCCATTCCACATGGATGGTAGGTGCACGTGGGGGCATGGGACATGTTCCCCCCTTTGCCCCAGAAAATGGTGGGGACCGGCTGTGCACGCAGTTAAATATTTTAGGGGAGGACTTATTTTAGTGCATGCACTCAAAAGCCCGATTGGGCTTATTATCAGGGGAGGTCTTATTTTTGAGGAAATAAGGTACTATCCACATAGTTTGCATAATGATGTTGTGACATACCTAGTATCACTGGCCTTCCCACAACCCAACCAGTAGAGTAGAAGGCTTAGCAAGAATTAGGAAGTAACATCTGACTAGTAGCAAAATCACCTCATGATTTAAAAAGTCTGAAGTGTTAGTACTATGTAAGGAACCTTGGCTGATAGTAACACTGTAAGAGTGGAATGTTTTCCTTTGAGTCATTGAACTAATCTGTTTTTCTCTTATAAAATCACCAGGACTCCAACAGTTTTCAAATCCATCAGAACTTTTGGCTTTCTCTGCACCAAACCAAGATAAACTGGGAAGTGGGACAAATGGTAAGATTCATTTTTCAGAAACGAAATTTACTATGGGGAAAAAAGAGGGAACAAACTAGGGGAAAAAAATATTAAAGGGAGGGAATATTTATGATGCAAATATCAACAGGACAGAGAAGATAACTTAATGTACTGCACTATTTATTCCTTTATTCAATTTATTGTGTCGCTTCATCTTACCTGGAGGCGGCTTACAATCATTAAAACCCACAAAAACAATAAAACAATAAATAATGGCATTAAATTGATTAAGATTGAGGAAAATGGGGAGGGAGAGAGAAAGATGCACATGGGGATGAGACAGGGGTGAAATGCTACTGGTTTGGACTGGTTCGCCTGAATTGCTAGTAAAAAAATGCTACCGGTTCGCCCGAACTGGTGGTAAAAAAAATGCTACCAGTTCAGACGAATGGGTATTTCTGACAATCAGCTGTGCTGCACAATTTATATTAGCTAGAAATCATGCGGCACAGCTCATTGCCACACAGCTGATCATCGGAACTATCAGTTTGCCTGGCTGTGCAACAATCAGCTGTGCCATGGGATTTATATTAGCTAGAAAAGAAGGAAATCCTAAATCACATGGCACAGCTGTTCCCCACCTTGCTGTTCTCAGAAAAGGCTTCTTAATCCTCCCTTTTCTGCACTGTGCATGCACACACGAAGCAAACAGGTAGCAAAGTGAACCAGTAGCAGACTTCAGAGCATTTCACCTCTGGGGTGAGGAGGTATTTAATCAATTAACCAAAATAATGTCTGCCCTCCATTGAGGATCCAGGCAGTTTGATGGAGTTAGGACTTCAGGCCCTTTCAGATTATGCTCTTTTTCTAAATACGATTTATCTTCCAAACATTCTAGTGAGATAGGCTGGGGCAAGAACTACCGTGTTTCCCCAAAAATAAGACAGGGTCTTATTTTCTTTTGACCCATGAAATAAGTGCTTGGCCTTATTTTGGGGGAGGTCTTATTATTTTTGTGGCACAGTAGGCAGCGAGGGTGGTCACCACATGGCTGCTGCTATGTTGCAATATTTTCAGGGAGGGCTTATTTTCAGGGGAGGGTTTATTTTAGGGTATGCACTGAAAAGCCCAATTGGGCTTATTATCCTGGTAGGTCTTATTTTCAGGGAAACCGGGTAGGAATCTGCTTAGCTCTCTTTACTTTCTTGTTACATTGAGTCACGATCCTGCTCAAACCAAATCATAAGATATTAGGGTTACACACCATTCAGCCAGGTTTCTTTTAGTCATTGTTTGCCGAATAAATCGCAATTGGCTTTCATTTACCCATCAAATGGTACATGTTGGTTGGGTTCCAACATCCGTGCTAATATGTTGTAGGATTCCTGCCACTGAGCTTTATAAACTCTGCTCTCTGGCTCAGCATTGTATGTAAACACAATGAGTGACTTATTCTACAGACTCTGCCTTGGTTTGTGTTCACTTCACAACCACCAATTCCTTTCTTCTGTCTCCTTGTATTTGTACAAAGTTGAACTTTGATATCAGTGTGATGAGTACATCTGGTTTACAGGCCTGGAATTGTTTGAAGGATCAAAATGACAGCCTCCCGTCATCTCTGACAGCAAAGTGACATTGCAGAAATTTCACTTTTTCCTTTTCTTTTGCTATCTTAGCTCTTTTCCTCCTCTGATATATAGAATAGAATAACATAGAATTGCCTTCCTTCCTTCGTCCCTTCCTTCCATCGGTCCTTCCTTCATTCTTCCTTTCAAATAGAATAACAGAGTTGGAAGGGACCTTGGAGGTCTTCTAGTCTAACTCTCTGCTTAGGCAGCAAACCCTAGCAAATCCAACATCTTCTTAAAACATCCAGTGTTGGAGCATTCACAATTTCTGGAGGAAAGTTGTTCCACTGATTAATTGTTCCAACTGTCAGGAAATTTCTCCTTAGTTCAAGATTGCTTCTCTCCTTGATTTGTCTCCATCCACTGCTTCTTATTCTACTCTCAGGTGGTTTGGAGAATAGCTTGACTCCCTCTTCTTTGTGGCAGCCCCTGAGATATTGGAACACTGCTATCATGTCTCCCCTAGTCCTTCTTTCCATCAAACTAGACATACCCAGTTCCTGCAGCCGTTCTTCATATGTTTTAGCCTCCAGTCCTCTTATAATCTTTTTTGCTCTTCTCTGCCCTCATTCTGGAGTGCAGTCTTTCTTCTGCTCCTTAAAGAAAAAGGAACAGGCCCTCTTGTTCATCTATCGTTAGATCATCCCTCACTGAAGCCTCCCCCAAATCTTCCTTGGCTCATAGGTTTTTTTTTTTAATATGTTGAACTTGTGCATATTTATACAAGGTTGTTTTATTTCCTGCTCCAAACAATGGTGCAGTTATTTCACCTGCCATCCACTGAGTTAATAAACTGGCTTCTCAGGCGAACACAGTTGTGGTCCATGAAGGAGAGATTTAGAACTTGCTATTTTCTACAGGCAAAACCTGTCCAACCAGCCTTCCTATCAAAAGCGGAATTGAAATCTATTTAAAACACTGGAAAGCAGGATATCTATTGTTTGGGGCTCATGAACTTCCTTCTGTCCAGTGGTGGGATTCATTTTTTTTACTATCAGTTCTGTGGACACGGCTGGTGGGCATGGCAGGGGAAGGTCACTGCAAAATACCTATTCCCACCCCATTCCAGGGGAAGGATACTGCAAAATCTCCATTTCCTCCCAATAAGCTGGGACTCAGTCCAGGGTGGTATTTACCGGTTCTCTGAACTACTTAAAATTTCCCCTACCGGTTCTCCACAACTGGTCAGAACCTGCTGAATACCACCTCTGATTCTGTCTTATTACGAAGGTTACTCTGCTTCTTGTTCAACCAAGAAAGACACTGTGTTTAGCAGAAAAAATCATAAGGAAACATAATATCAGGAATCGATGGAGGCGCTTCCCACTTCAAATTTAAATGTGCATATTAGAAATATCTGCGGCATTAAGCTCCCAAACTCAAGGATAAATAAGCCCTGAAATATCTCTTTATATCATGAATGGGCATCTTCTGCATGAATTTTTGAGTCAACGTTTGGTGAAAACCTCCATGACAGACTCCACAAGAATGTATAGTTATGAAGGATACACTTCCAAAGCAGAGGTGGTATTCAACAGGTTCTGACCAGTTCTGGAGAACCAGTAGTGGAAATTTTGAGTAGTTTGGAGAACTGGTAAATACCACCTTTGACCGACCTCGCTCCCATCTATTCTCTGCCTCCTGAGTCCCAGCTGATCGAGAGGAAATGGGGATTTTGCAGTAACCTTCCCCTGGG